AAAATATTCTTTGAGCGGTACTTGAGTATATTTTAAAATTCGTCTATCGATTCCCTATCGATCATATATTTCAGTTTTGCTGCTCAAAGAATATTAAAAAATTTTTAGTATAAAAACTTTTTTGCTAAATTTGGGAATTTGTCAATGTTTGTTACGTTATATCGTCCCTTAGCAAGTACCCAGAAATGAAATCAATATGAGGATCCATTCGCTTATCGATTCCCTATCGATCATATATTTTAGTTTTGCTGCTCACGGAATATTTAAAATTTTTTTGGTATAAAAACTTTTTGCTAAATTTTCCAATTTGTCAAAGTTTGTTACGTTATATCGTCCTTCAGCAAGTACCCAGAAATGAAATCAATATGGAGATCAATTCGTCTATCGAGTCCCTATCGATCATATATTTCAGTTTTGCTGCTCAAAGAATACTTAAAAAAATTTTGGTGTAAAAACTTTTTTTGCTAAATTTGGCAATTTGTCAAAGTTTGTTACGTTATATCGTCCTTCAGCAGATACCCAGAAATGAAATCAATATGGAGATCGATTCGTCTATCGATTCCCTATCGATCATATATTTCAGTTTTGCTGTTCAAAGAATATTTAAAAAAATTTTGGTGTAAAAACTTTTTTTTGCTAAATTTGTCAAAGTTTGTTACGGTATATTGTCCTTCAGCAAGTACCCAGAAATGAAATCAATATGGAGATCGATTCGTCTATCGATTCCCTATCGATCATATATTTCAGTTTTGCTGTTCAAAGAATATTTAAAAAAATTTTGGTGTAAAAACTTTTTTTTGCTAAATTTGGCAATTTGTCAAAGTTTGTTACGTTATATCATCCTTCAGCAAGTACCCAGAAATGAAATCAATATGGGGATCGATTCGCTTATCGATTCCCTATCGATCACATATTTTAGTTTTGCTGCTCAAAGAATATTTTAAAATTTTTCAGTATAAAAACTTTTTTCATAAAATGTGAACTTTTCAAAGTTGTTACGTTATATCGTCCTTCAGCAAGTACACAGAAATGAAATCAATATGGGGATCGATTTGTCTATCGATTCCCTAGCGATCACATACTTCAGTTTGTTGTTCAAAGAATATTTAAAAAATTTTTAGTATAAAAACTTTTTGGTAAATTTGCCAATTTGTCAAAGTTTGTTACGTTATATCGTCCTTCAGCGAGTACCCGGAAATGAAATCAATAAGGGGATCGATTCGTTTATCGATTCCCTAGCGATCACATACTTCAGTTTTGCTGCTCAAAAAATATTTAAAAAATTTTTAGTATAAAAACTTTTTTGCTAAATTTGGGAATATGTCAATGTTTGTTACATTATATTATCCTTCAGCAAGTACCCAGAAATGAAATCAATATTGAGATCAATTCGTCTATCGATTCCCTTTCGATCATATATTTTAGTTTTGCTGCTCAAAGAATATTTAAAAAATTTTTAGTATAAAAACTTTTTGGTAAATTTGCCAATTTGTCAAAGTTTGTTACGTTATATCGTCCTTCAGCGAGTACCCGGAAATGAAATCAATATGGGGATCGATTCGTTTATCGATTCCCTATCGATCACATACTTCAGTTTTGCTGCTCAAAAAATATTTAAAAAATTTTTAGTATAAAAACTTTTTTGCTAAATTTGGGAATATGTCAATGTTTGTTACATTATATTATCCTTCAGCAAGTACCCAGAAATGAAATCAATATTGAGATCAATTCGTCTATCGATTCCCTATCGATCATATATTTCAGTTTTGCTGCTCAAAGAATATTTAAAAAAATTTTAGTATAAAAACTTTTTTGCTAAATTTGGGAATTTGTCAAAGTTTGTTACGTTATATCGTCCTTCAGCAAGTACCCAGAAATGAAATCAATATGGGGATCGATTCCCTATCGATCACTATTGGCTGATATAATCGTAACAAACTTTGACAAATTTCCAAATTTAGCAAAAAAGTGTTTATACTAAAATTTTTTTAAATATTCTTTGGGCAGCAAAACTAAAATATATGATCGATAGGGAATCGATAGACGAATCGATCTCCATACTGATTTCATTTCTGGATACTTGCTGAAGGACGATATAACGTAACAAACTTTGACAAATTCCCAAATTTAGCAAAAAAGCTTTTATACTTTAATTTTTTTTTAAATATTCTTTGAGCAGCAATACTGAAATATGTGATCGATAGGGAATCGATAGACCAATCGAACCGCATACTGACTTTTTTTTTTGAGTACTTGCTATGGGATGCTGTAACGTAGCAAACTTTGAAAAGTTTACATTTTATGAAAAAAGTTTTTATACTAACAAATTTTTAAATATTCTTTGAGCAGCAAAACTAAAAATATGGATCGAAAGGGAATCGATAGACGAATCGAACCCCATATTGATTTCATTTCTGGATACTTGCTAAAGGACGATATAACGTAACAAACTTTGACAAATTCCCAAATTTAGCAAAAAATGTTTATACTAAAAATTTTTTAAATATTCTTTCAGCAGCAAAACTAAAATATATGATCAAAAGGGAATCGATAGACGAATCGATCCCCATATTGATTTCATTTCTGTGTACTTGCTGAAGGACGATATAACGTAACAAACATGGACAAATTGCCAAATTTAGCAAAAAAGTTTTTATACTAAAAAATTTTAAATATTCTTTGAGCAGCAAAACCGAAATATGTAATCGATAGACGAATCGATCACCATATTGATTTCATTTCTGTGTATTTGCTAAAGGACGATATAACGTAACAAACTCTGACAAATTCCCAAATTTAGGAAAAAAGTTTTTATACTAAAAATTTTTTAAATATTCTTTGAGCAGCAAACTGAAGTATGTGATCGATAGGGAATCGATAGACGAATCGATCGCCATATTGATTTCATTTTTGGGTACTTGCTAAAAGACGATATAACGTAACAAACTTTGACAAATTCGCAAATTTAGCCCAAAAGTTTTTATACTAAAAAATTTTAAAATATTCTTTGAGCGGTACTTGAGTATATTTTAAAATTCGTCTATCGATTCCCTATCGATCATATATTTCAGTTTGCTGCTCAAAGAATATTAAAAAATTTTTAGTATAAAAACTTTTTTGCTAAATTTGGGCATTTGTCAATGTTTGTTACGTTATATCGTCCCTTAGCAAGTACCCAGAAATGAAATCAATATGAGGATCGATTCGTTTACCGATTCCCTATCGATCATATATTTTAGTTTTGCTGCTCACGGAATATTTAAAATTTTTTTGGTATAAAAACTTTTTTGCTAAATTTGGCATATTGTCAAAGTTTGTTACGTTATATCGTCCTTCAGCAAGTACCCAGAAATGAAATCAATATGGAGATCAATTGGTCTATCGAGTCCATATCGATCATATATTTCAGTTTTGCTGCTCAAAGAATATTTAAAAAAATTTTGGTGTAAAAACTTTTTTTGCTAAATTTGGCAATTTGTCAAAGTTTGTTACGTTATATCGTCCTTCAGTAGATACCCAGAAATGAAATCAATATGGAGATCGATTCGTCTATCGATTCCCTATCGATCATATATTTCAGTTTTGCTGTTCAAAGAATATTTAAAAAAATTTTGGTGTAAAAACTTTTTTTGCTCAATTTGGCAATTTGTCAAAGTTTGTTACGTTATATTGTCCTTCAGCAAGTACCCAGAAATGAAATCAATATGGAGATCGATTCGTCTATCGATTCCCTATCGATCATATATTTCAGTTTTGCTGCTCAAAGAATATTTAAAAAAATTTTGGTGTAAAAACTTTTTTGCTAAATTTGGCAATTTGTCAAAGTTTGTTACGTTATATTGTCCTTCAGCAAGTACCCAGAAATGAAATCAATATGGGGATCGATTCATCTATCGATTCCCTATCGATCACATATTTTAATTTGCTGCTCAAAGAATATTTTAAAATTTTTTAGTATAAAAACTTTTTTCATAAAATGTGAACTTTTCAAAGTTTGTTACGTTATATCGTCCTTCAGCAAGTACACAGAAATGAAATCAATATGGGGATCGATTTGTCTATCGATTCCCTTTCGATCATATATTTTAGTTTTGCTGCTCAAAGAATATTTAAAAAATTTTTAGTATAAAAACTTTTTGGTAAATTTGCCAATTTGTCAAAGTTTGTTACGTTATATCGTCCTTTAGCAAGTACCCAGAAATGAAATCAATATGGGGATCGATTCGTCTATCGATTCCCTATCGATCACATACTTCAGTTTTGCTGCTCAAAAAATATTTAAAAAATTTTTAGTATAAAAACTTTTTTGCTAAATTTGGGAATATGTCAATGTTTGTTACATTATATTATCCTTCAGCAAGTACCCAGAAATGAAATCAATATTGAGATCAATTCGTCTATCGATTCCCTATCGATCATATATTTCAGTTTTGCTACTCAAAGAATATTTAAAAAAATTGTAGTATAAAAACTTTTTTGCTAAATTTGGGAATTTGTCAAAGTTTGTTACGTTATATTGTCCTTCAGCAAGTACCCAGAAATGAAATCAATATGGGGATCGATTCATCTATCGATTCCCTATCGATCACTATTGGCTGTTTTGGTGCTCAAACAATATTTTTAATTTTTTAAGTATAAACACTTTTTTGTTAAACTTGTAGATTCTTCAAAGTTTGTTACATCACAGCATCTCATAGCAAGTATTGCGAAGGAAAACTAATACATAGATCGATTCGTTTTTCGATTCCCTATCGATTACATATTTCAGTTTTGGTGCTCAAAGAAGATTTTCAATTTTATATCAATATTTCAAAATTTTATAAATAAAGCAATGCTTTTGTTATGGTTTGTTTTCTTTTTGTTTACATTTTTTATATATTTTTTTTTTGCTTTGTTTACATTTTTTATGTACTTTTCCACGTGCATACAGAAAAAGTACTTTTTTTTGCAACGACCAAAATTGAAAAAAGTTTGTTTTCTTCATAGAGGTAAACATACATTTAAACATTCATAGTCATAACCACTGTATACAAATTTTTAAAATTGTTTTGATTTGTATGTATTTTATTTTAATAAAAATTATAATATAAAAGATAAATTTAACTTCATATGTTGAATAAAATGTATTTTTCTTAATTAAAAAATTACCCATTAGTGTTTACGCGATTACACATTTGTTTGATGATGTTCCATCTGAACTGTTCTCAACCGATGGTTGAGATGTATCCAAAGATGGTTCTGAGTTTGGCGGCAGTGTTGCTGCAGTTGGTGGCGGTTGTGACGATGGTGGCGGAGGTGGTGCTAAATGCTTCTGACGATGGTGGTGCTGTTATTGGTGGCGGTGGTGGTGCTATTGTTGGTGGCGGAGGTGGTGCTGTTGTTTGAGGTAGTGGTGGTGCTGCTGTTTGAGGTAGTGGCGGTGCTGCTGTTTGAGGTAGTGGTGGTGCTGTTGTTGTTGCTGAGGGAAGGGTGGAGCGTGGTATTGCGTGCACTGGGGGATATGGCATATAAGTTGGTTGTTGATTATAATATTGCTGATGGTTATATTCATACTGGGGATAAGATGAAAAGTAATCATAATATTGTGTTGGAATATATTGTTCTAAATGAGTTGGTGCGGTGTATTCTGGAGGTAATAAAACTATAGGTGGCTGACCGTACGTGGCATTATAATTTTGTTGCGGCCAAACCGTTGCACGCTGATAGAGTGCAACATCAGGAACTTGGGAACGCTTGAAATTTAACAAAAATTAAAAGCAAGTTTTTATATAAAAATATAACAGGAAAATAAATAAAATTTAGTGAAACAAATATATTTTTCGATTTGCTTACCCATCCACCTCTTGTCGTACGTGACCGTCCACGACCACGTCGGTTATTACCTTTTATAATGTCATTCATTCCAGCCTTTAGAATATCTTTCTTCATAATGAACATACCATCTACATTATGTCTAATTTTATGTTTTTAGGTTCAATAATGCAGAAAATCAAAAAAGTTCCAAGTTCAATATTATAAGATTTAAAAAGTACCAATTAAATAACGATAAAAACATAAAACTTCACTTTTCTTGATTCTTATTTACTCAAGACTACATGCATAAATTTATGTTTCAAGGTTTTATATTATATAAAACTCAGATACCAGTTGAAGAACGAAAGAATCCAAAAAATCATTTTCTACAGACTTTCATCCAATTATCAATATTATAGATAATTCAAAAAGTACAAGTTGAATGATTAAATTGTACTTTCATTGACTGAGGACTATGAATGTTTCAATGTTCAATATTGTAGACATTTCAAAAAGCTATTGTATCATGAAGAAGGAGGGGAGTGAATTAACCACATGGGATGAACCAAGATCCGCTTTCCCAGGACACTTATAATGTCCCACCATGAGAGTATGCAGATAGCCTGTCTGCAGGGGGAACATTAGCAGCTCAGTATGAAGAAATATTCTACAGTCCAGTCTGAGAATATTTACCTGAAAGGAAAATTTAATAAATAAAAACTGAAAAATTCAAATGGAACGATATGTACCATACCTTGACATCATGTACCAGTGTTTTTCGATTCCCAAAAAGAGTATTAACAAACAAAAAATTAAATAAATGTTAAAATTTTAAATAATTTACTACTTATTTGCTGCTGCCGCTTTTTATTCTCCGAATTTAATGACAGTTGTTGATAGTAAACGAGGTTGCCAGACCAGAATGTGTACTCAATGTACTGAGAGAAAATAAAGTAAAGTTTTTATAAAACAAAACAGATTAATGGCTTAATTTATAACTGGCTATAAAATCCCATAGCAAGTACCCAGAAATGAAATCAATATGGGGATCGATTCGTCTATTGATTACCTATCGATCACATATTTTGGTTTTGCTGCTCAACGAATATTTTAAAATTTTTTAGTATAACAACTTTTTTACTAAATTTGCAAATTTGTCAAAGTTTGTTACGTTACAGCATCCCACAGCAAGTACCCAGAAATGAAATCAATATGGGGATCGATTCGTCTATTGATTACCTATCGATCACATTTTTTGCTTTTGCTGCTCAACGAATATTTTAAAATTTTTATGTACAAAAACTTTTTCCATAAATTGAGAACTTTTCAAAGTTTGTTACGCTACCAGTAGTAAAGTTTGTTACGTTACCAGTAGTAAAGTTTGGCAAACTTTTTTCAGAGTTGCAAAAAAGGTACTTTTTCTGTATGCACGTGGAAAATTACATAAAAAATATAAACAAAAAGATAACAAACCATTACAAAAGCATTGCTTTCTTTACAAAATTTTGAAATATCAACATCGAATTTAAAATATTCTTTGAGCAGCAAATCTAAAATAAGCGTTCTATAGGGAATCAATTGACGAATTGATCTATGTATTAATTTTCCTCCGCAGTACTTGCAATGATATGCTGTGATGTAACAAACTTTGAAGCAATTACAAATTTAATACAACAGTTTTAATACTGAACAATTTTAAAATATTCTTTGAGCAGCAAAACCAAAATATGTGATCGATAGGTAATCAATAGACGAATCGATCCCCATATTGATTTCATTTCTGTGTACTTGCTGAAGGACGATATAACGTAACAAACATGGACAAATTGCCAAATTTGGCAAAAAAGTTTTTATACTAAAAAATTTTAAATATTCTTTGAGCAGCAAAACCGAAATATGTAATCGATAGACGAATCGATCACCATATTGATTTCATTTCTGTGTATTTGCTAAAGGACGATATAACGTAACAAACTCTGACAAATTCCCAAATTTAGGAAAAAAGTGTTTATACTAAAAATTTTTTAAATATTCTTGAGCAAAATATTCTTTGAGCAGCAAAACCAAAATATGTGATCGATAGGTAATCAATAGACGAATCGATCCCCATATTGATTTCATTTCTGGGTACTTGCTGTGGGATGCTGTAACGTAACAAACTTTGACAAATTTGCAAATTTAGTAAAAAAGTTGTTATACTAAAAAATTTTTAAATATTCTTTGAGCAGCAAAACCAAAATATGTGATCGATAGACAAATCGATCCCCACATTGATTTCATTTCTGGGTACTTGCTGTGGGATGCTGTAAGTTAACAAACTTTGACAAATTTGCAAATTTAGTAAAAAAGTTGTTATACTAAAAAATTTTAAAATATTCGTTGAGCAGCAAAACCAAAATATGTGATCGATAGATAATCAATAGACTAATCGATCCCCATATTGATTTCATTTCTGGGTACTTGCTAAGGGACGATATAACGTAACAAACTTTGACAAATTGGCAAATTTAGCAAAATGTTTTTATACTAAAAATTTTTTAAATATTCTTTGAGCAGCAAAACTAAAATATATGATCGATAGGGAGTCGATAGACGAATCGATCTCCATACTGATTTCATTTCTGGGTACTTTCTGAAGGACGATATAACGTAACAAACTTTGACAAATTCCCATATTTAGCAAACAAGTTTTTATACTAAAATTTTTTTAAATATTCTTTGAGCAGCAAAACTAAAATATATGATCGATAGACGAATCGATCCCCATATTGATTTCATTTCTGGGTACTTGCTAAGGGACGATATAACGTAACAAACTTTGACAAATTGGCAAATTTAGCAAAAAGTTTTTATACTAAAAATTTTAAAATATCCTTTTAGCAGCAAAACTAAAATATATGATCGATAGGGAATCGATCCCCATATTGATTTCATTTCTGGGTACTTGCTGAAGGACGATATAACGTAACAAACTTTGACAAATTCCCAAATTTAGCAAAAAGGTTTTTATACTAAAATTTTTTTAAATATTCTTTGGGCAGCAAAACTAAAATATATGATCAATAGGGAATCGATAGACGAATCGATCTCCATACTGATTTCATTTCTGGGTACTTGCTGAAGGACGATATAACGTAACAAACTTTGACAAATTCCCAAATTTAGCAAAAAAGCTTTTATACTTTAATTTTTTTTAAATATTCTTTGAGCAGCAAAACTGAAATATGTGATCGATAGGGAATCGATAGACGAATCGAACCGCATACTGATTTTTTTTTTTTTTTTTTGAGTACTTGCTATGGGATGCTGTAACGTAGCAAACTTTGAAAAGTTTACATTTTATGAAAAAAGTTTTTATACTAAAAAATTTTTAAATATTCTTTGAGCAGCAAAACTAAAAAATATGATCGAAAGGGAATCGATAGACGAATCGAACCCCATATTGATTTCATTTCTGGATACTTGCTAAAGGACGATATAACGTAACAAACTTTGACAAATTCCCAAATTTAGCAAAAAATTTTTATACTAAAAATTTTTTAAATATTCTTTGAGCAGCAAAACTAAAATATATGATCAAAAGGGAATCGATAGACGAATCGATCCCCATATTGATTTCATTTCTGTGTACTTGCTGAAGGACGATATAACGTAACAAACATGGACAAATTGCAAAATTTAGCAAAAAAGTTTTTATACTAAAAAATTTTAAATATTCTTTGAGCAGCAAAACCGAAATATATAATCGATAGACGAATCGATCACCATATTGATTTCATTTCTGTGTATTTGCTAAAGGACGATATAACGTAACAAACTCTGACAAATTCCCAAATTTAGGAAAAAAGTTTTTATACTAAAAAATTATGTGATCGATAGGGAATGAATGCTCAAAGAATATTTTAAAATTTTTTAGTATAAAAACTTTTTTCATAAAATGTGAACTTTTCAAAGTTTGTTACGTTATATCGTCCTTCAGCAAGTACACAGAAAAAAAAAAAAATCAGTATGCGTTTCGATTCGTCTATCGATTCCCTATCGATCACATATTTCAGTTTTGCTGCTCAAAGAATATTTAAAAAAAATTAAAGTATAAAAGCTTTTTTGCTAAATTTGGGAATTTGTCAAAGTTTGTTACGTTATATCGTCCTTCAGCAAGTACCCAGAAATGAAATCAGTATGGAGATCGATTCGTCTATCGATTCCCTATTGATCATATATTTTAGTTTTGCTGCCCAAAGAATATTTAAAAAAATTTTAGTATAAAAACCCTTTTGCAAAGAATATTTTAAAATTTTTAGTATAAAAACTTTTTCATAAAATGTGAACTTTTCAAAGTTTGTTACGTTATATCGTCCTTCAGCAAGTACACAGAAATGTAATCAATATGGGGATCGATTTGTCTATCGATTCCCTTTCGATCATATATTTTAGTTTTGCTGCTCAAAGAATATTTAAAAAATTTTTAGTATAAAAACTTTTTGGTAAATTTGCCAATTTGTCAAAGTTTGTTACGTTATATCGTCCTTTAGCAAGTACCCAGAAATGAAATCAATATGGGGATCGATTCGTTTATCGATTCCCTATCGATCACATGCTTCAGTTTTGCTGCTCAAAAAATATTTAAAAAATTTTTAGTATAAAAACTTTTTTGCTAAATTTGGGAATATGTCAATGTTTGTTACATTATATTATCCTTCAGCAAGTACCCAGAAATGAAATCAATATTGAGATCAATTCGTCTATCGATTCCCTATCGATCATATATTTCAGTTTTGCTGCTCAAAGAATATTTAAAAAAATTGTAGTATAAAAACTTTTTTGCTAAATTTGGGAATTTGTCAAAGTTTGTTACATTATATCGTCCTTCAGCAAGTACCCAGAAATGAAATCAATATGGGGATCGATTCATCTATCGATTCCCTATCGATCACTATTGGCTGTTTTGGTGCTCAAACAATATTTTTAATTTTTTAAGTATAAACACTTTTTTGTTAAACTTGTAGATTCTTCAAAGTTTGTTACATCACAGCATCTCATAGCAAGTATTGCGAAGGAAAACTAATACACAGATCGATTCGTTTTTCGATTCCCTATCGATTACATATTTCAGTTTTGGTGCTCAAGGAAGATTTGCAATTTTATATCAATATTTCAAAATTTTATAAATAAAGCAATGCTTTTGTTATGGTTTGTTTTCTTTTTGTTTACATTTTTTATATATTTTTTTTTGCTTTGTTTACATTTTTTATGTACTTTTCCACGTGCATACAGAAAAAGTACTTTTTTTTTGCAACAACCAAAATTGAAAAAAGTTTGTTTTCTTCATAGAGGTAAACATACATTTAAACATTCATAGTCATAACCACTGCATACAAATTTTTAAAATTGTTTTGATTTGTATGTATTTTATTTTAATAAAAATTATAATATAAAAGATAAATTTAACTTCATATGTTGAATAAAATGTATTTTTCTTAATTAAAAAATTACCCATTAGTGTTTACGCGATTACACATTTGTTTGATGATGTTCCATCTGAACTGTTCTCAACCGATGGTTGAGATGTATCCAAAGATGGTTCTGAGTTTGGCGGCAGTGTTGCTGCTGTTGGTGGCGGTTGTGACGATGGTGGCGGAGGTGGTGCTAATGTTGGTGTTGCTTCTGACGATGGTGGTGCTGTTATTGGTGGCGGTGGTGGTGCTATTGTTGGTGGCGGAGGTGGTGCTGTTGTTTGAGGTAGTGGTGGTGCTGTTGTTGTTGCTGAGGGAAGGGTGGAGCGTGGTATTGCGTGCACTGGGGGATATGGCATATAAGTTGGTTGTTGATTATAATATTGCTGATGGTTATATTCATACTGGGGATAAGATGAAAAGTAATCATAATATTGTGTTGGAATATATTGTTCTAAATGAGTTGGTGCGATGTATTCTGGAGGTAATAAAACTATAGGTGGCTGACCGTACGTGGCATTATAATTTTGTTGCGGCCAAACCGTTGCACGCTGATAGAGTGCAACATCAGGAACTTGGGAACGCTTGAAATTTAACAAAAATTAAAAACAAGTTTTTATATAAAAATATAACAGGAAAATAATTTCTTTAACGTTTCTAAATAAAATTTAGTGAAACAAATATATTTTTCGATTTGCTTACCCATCCACCTCTTGTCGTACGTGACCGTCCACGACCACGTCGGTTATTACCTTTTATAATGTCATTCATTCCAGCCTTTAGAATATCTTTCTTCATAATGAACATACCATCTACATTATGTCTAATTTTATGTTTTTAGGTTCAATAATGCAGAAAATCAAAAAAGTTCCAAGTTCAATATTATAAGATTTAAAAAGTACCAATTAAATAACGATAAAACTTCACTTTTCTTGATTCTTATTTACTCAAGACTACATGCATAAATTTATGTTTCAAGGTTTTATATTATATAAAACTCAGATTGAAAACTCAGTTGAAGAACGAAAGAATCCAAAAAATCATTTTCTACAGACTTTCATCCAATTATCAATATTATAGATCAACGTTTCCCAAATGGGGGTCCGCGGACCCCTAGTGGTCCGTAGTAAAATCCTAGGGGGTCCGCGAAGACGAACGAAAAAAACATGAATAAACAATATTCTTTTATATGTATGTACAAATATCTCCAATTTTTGTGCAATAATCCCAAATTTTTTGGTGACTTTTTGAATTTTATTTTTCGGTTGTTTATCAGGAAGAAGCTAGGGCCTACAAATTTATTGTATAACTTTTATAAAGTAAAGTATTGCGTGATTTGTAATTTTTATTTCCTGTATATGTACTGAAATAATGGTTTTTATTTCAGACAAATAATACTCTGCCTTACAATTAAATTAGGGATACTGGTATTCCGGAGTATGAAGTTCAATTCAAAGACAAGCTTATTACAGATTTAAGTTTATCAAATTGTAAGCAAAGGTGTTCTTGTTTGAAAGGACTAAAATTATATATTTTCAAAACAGAGGTGACTCTTTATGCATCTTTTTATAAATATTCCGATCCGACGTGATACACAGATTTTAACTTGATTTTGTCGACCAATACATATTATTAAATTAACATCAGAAAATCCATAGCGTAGCCAAAAACCATGAAGTAAAATAATTCGTTGGTATTTTAAAATTCAAATTTAAGTTCCAAATTCACAGTACTTTAACAAAGAGTTCAAATCATATATTATGCGGATAACGCATTCCGCAACAACATAGAAGAAGTCCAACTTTCTTATATTATTTTCCCGAAAACTTAGCTCACTTACTCAGTTCACCCTTTGCAATCGCAACAAATTTTTGAAACGTGACTCCTTAAGCACATGTGACAATATTTGATAAAGAAACCTTTTCGCTACCTTGAAGAAAAATGAATATGAAAGATCTCACGATCATAAAATTAAACATCATATTAACATATCAACAATGAAGTCATTCTATCTTCAAAACATGCAATTGAAAACCTATCTGAAATATTATATATTCTCAATGTACGGGAATATTTTATAGATATGACATCTCTACATTTATTAGACCTAGGGATTAATGAACTAGGTCAATTTTCGGATGGACAATTATTTAGAACAATAAGATATCAAAATATGTATGGGGGTCCGCGAAATTAAATATGTTCTTCAAGGGGTCCGCGAAGTAAAAATCGGTGGGAACCGCTGGTATAGATAACGTTGCATAAAATTAAATAAATTTATAGTTGGATGTCGGTAGATGATTCCTTTATGTGGGTTTTAGATATAGTGTGTGGGCTGTTTTTTTTTTTTTTTTGGGACGAGAAACGTTAGTATCAGTGTCATATTTCTTAATATGCTATAAAGGATTAAAAATATATTTTTTGGGACAATTGTGCTGTTCTCCTATTTCCTTTTACGATTTCCAAGCTTTATGAAGCTCAAAAATGGATCTACCCTAGCCAGCAGTATTTCTTTTGCTTATTCCAACTATTAATCTTAAAAATAATTATGTTAAATTTGTTGTACATTACATTACATATACAATGTAATTTTTTATTAAAATTAGACTTGACTTAAAAATGTTTAATACAAAATGGCCGTTTCCAATTAGTTGTCCCGTTTTCTTTGATTTTATCTTAGGCCGAATTTCGCCAAACTCAAAACTGAAATGGGAATATGAAATGCTCAACAACAAAATATATTCCATTTTACAATAATAACAGTAATAAATATAATACAAGTCTTTGGAACTGAAAATCTAACGTTATATTTTCATATTTTTATATAGGGTTTTTTCTCAATTCTCTTTTAAATGCCCTTCGTAAAATACTGAACGTTTATATGGAGACTCAAAAGGCATGCAACATTTTCATGTTAGTGTTGCCCTTTTTATATTTTTAAATGTTGTTTCTATTATTTTATTTAAGAATAAATATATTTATTTATAAAATATTTTTCAAATTAAATATTCATTAACAAATATATTTTAATATTTTATAAACATTTTGACGAAATTGCACTTAATTGCTTATTTAAATAGAAGTTTAACTGAGAAGTATTGTTCTATTTACAACTATTTATTTAATTATTTATTGTTTGTTATAAAAATAACTAAAATTTAGCAATCAATTATTTAAAAATTAATTATTTTTCGATTATATGTAATGTAAATAAAATTCAAAATATTACTTGCGGCAACACTGATTCATGTAATAAAGTAAACGGACGCGATCTTCACTCTTTGAGAGCAGAATAAAAATAAAGCAACTGCCAAAGTTACGAACGCGTAACAAAAGAGATAGCAAAAAACCCCTCAAATTACGATTCGTGCGTCTTTTGCTACTTCCCTTTCTTCTTTACCCCCTTTGCCCACAAACTAGTGTAAGCTAAAAGTGTTCTAACTGAAAGTAGCAGTTGCTCATACCTAGGGTTCTATAGTTGAAACGAAAAGTAGACTTTTCGACTTTTTGCATTTTATGAAAAGTGGATTTTTCGACTTTTAGTATTTTATAAATAGTCGACTTTTCGACCTTTCGACTTTTTTTCTACTATTTTCGACTTTTTGACTTTTTTCGATTTTTCCACTTTTCGACTATTTTCGACTTTTTTAGACTTTTTCGAGTTTCCAACTTTTTCCGACTATTTTCGTGTTTTCGACTTTTTCCGACTATTTTCGAATTTTTTTCGACATTTTCCGACTTTTCGAATTTTTAACTATTTTCCGACTTTTGTCGACTTTTTTAGATTTTTCGACTTTTTTAGACTTTTCGACTTTTTTTTTACTTTTTTCGAGTTTCCAACTTTTTCCGACTATTTTCGTGTTTTCGCCTTTTTCCGACTATTTTCGAGTTTTCGACTTTTTAACTTTTTTCGAATTTTTTCGACTATTTTCGACTTTTTCCGACTATTTTGCAAATTTTTTCGACTTTTTCCGACTTTTCGAATTTTTAACAATTTTCGACTTTTGTCGACTTTTTTAGATTTTTCGACTTTTATTTAGACTTTTTGATTTTTTTCGACTTTTCGAATTTTTTCGACTCTTCGACTTTTATTTACAAAGTCGACTTTTCGACTATTTTCATAGACGATAGTCGACCTTTTTGGAACAAAATAGTCGACTTCGACTTTTCGAACCTCGAAAGTCGATTTCGAAATCGAAAGTCGATTTATAGAACCCTTATGAAAAGTAGATTTTTCGATACCCGTTAATAAAACAACCTTTTGATAAAACAGCAAACCCTAACAGCTGTTTTTGATTGTTGTGTGGTGAGTTTCTATAAAAACGTAAACAAATGAAACAAAAACAAATTACTAGACATATTTATTTTGTGCTAAGAAAAATTTATGTATTTTAATAATGTTTTATAGCCAGTGCAAGTGTTCTTGGTGTACACCATCTACCCCAATAATAATCCCGGTTTCATTAGAATCAAGTATTTTTAAAACGGCCATATATAATGTGCAATTCATTCTATATTCCATGACTGGTTGAAAGAGTCACGGAATCCATCGGAGATCAACCTAAAAAATGAAAAAGGGGTGGCTTTAACTTCTTGTTCCGTTCATATGGGACAAGATTCGAGCCTCATCGTATCAGTTCGCCAGATACCTCATTTGTGTATATTGCAGGGTCCTGGTACCCAACACAGCCTTATTGTAAACGGTCTCATAATAATACTTAGATCTTTTCTTCATTCTACGATTATGCAAGAATACAGCTATGACATATTAATGCTTTAAGTGCAGCATGACTATCAACCAAAAATCTTACCAGAGACCGGCGAACAATGTGATTCCCTATTAGTTCCGTCACTTTCAAGATCGCTAAATCACCACTTGGAAGACACAACCCATCAGGGAGTCAAGGAACATTTTACACCGTTTGTAACACATTGAAATATTGGTCTAATATCCATAAAAGTATATCCTGGGATCTTATTACATTCTAAGATTGAGTTTGTTATTGAAAATGGACAATATCGGTATACGATAAACTCATCAGGGAGCCAAGGAACTTTTACACCGAAATATTGGTCTAAAATCCATAAAAGTATAGACTAGGATCTTAGCCAATATTTGGAGTTTATTATTGAGCTTCAATATTCCAGTATAGCGAAGAAGAACGACAAAAACAAGTTTTATAGGAACTAAAATCTTTTTGCCAAATTTTATGAGGATCAGGAAATTATTTTACAAGATTTATATGATCCAAAACCTTTCTGGGTTGGTTCAAAATTGACCCTACCCCCATATAAGTTCCCCTTCAGAAAAAGATATTAACTCCAATAATTGTAATAAAAATACCAATATAGCAAAGAAATTCCACATAAACAAGGAGTCAACATAGTTTTGTCAAATTTAAGGGGATCGGTCCATAATTTAACCTATCCCCGATATAAGGTCCACCTCGGGAAATTACTACCACTCATAACTGGCTTAAAAAAATAGCTATAAAATTCGACAACTTTTATATGAAACAAAATTTATCTGTTGAATTTTGTAAGGGTCGGTCCACAGTTGACCCTACCTAAAATCTCAAACAGATTATGCCATCCGATTTCTACACTTCCAACTTAAAGTTCTATATATGTTTTTATCGTGCACAAGATCTTCCGATAGCAGTTATATATAATTTTCTATATACGGATATAGTCACATTTTTTGTAAAAAAAGTTTGTTGCTGTAGTACACACCCTAGAACGATGAAATCCACAAAACAAATTATGCCATCCGATTTGTATATTTCCAACTTAAAGTTCTATATAGGATTTTATCGTGCACAAGATCGTCCGATAGCAGTTATATATAATTTTCTATATACTTCCATAATAAAATTTTTTGTAAAAAAAAAAGTTTGTTGTTGTAGTACACACCCTAGCACGATGAAATCAGGAAAA